TACATAAATTAATTAATCACGCGCCCGCGCGTGGTGACTGGCTTGCTGCCTGTGACTACATACACATACATATTTATTTATTAATTGATTAGTTAATTAATATATTACGCCCCCCCGCATGCGAGTGATTCATTCAGACACCTATCTACATATATATATCTATATATACATATATAGATATAGCTATTTATTGAAAGAAAGAAAGAAATATATATATACATACACCCATATATATATATATATATATATATATATATATATATATTTGGAAGGTGGTTGGGATAAGCTAATAAAATGTTAAAAAAAGAGCTTATAAGATGTTCAAGAAATTATAAGTTCTTCGAAAGTGTTCGATAATTTTTTTCAAAAAACAATTGTAGTTTTTTTTTATATATAAGCTGTTGGGGAGCAAATAATTAGATCTTTTCTGAAAAGTACATTTACTTCATCTTTTTATTTATGATCTTATATAGTAATTCGCAAAATTAGATGTAACAATTTATCAGTTCTTAAAACATCTTATCAGACGTAAGAGATTATCAGTTGTTTAAAATAAGTTTTGCCAAACAGGGCCTTAGTTCTCTGCCCTCTTGAATTTACCAATAATATCATAAAATACTATAAAATCACTTAAGCTTAGTGTACCATCATTGGGATGTGACAAGAAAAACTTGTGTTAACATGCATTATGTTATTTAGCTACAAAAGAAGTACGAAAAAGTAATGCTAAAAATAGTATACACAATATTATAAAATAATAAACAATCCCCTATTAGTACCATCTAACTATATAATAAAAATATTAAAGAGTAATAATAAAAATAAATATTAAAAAAGTACTAAACTCATTCATGTGATCATTAGAGTAAGTGTAAGGAATCTTTGTATGAAAATTAATCATATGGGAATCCTTTTTTATTGAATTAACATTTTTGAGAAGGGAGCGCCTAAAACAAATACCGTTTATTTCTCACTTCAATACCACCAACACAAAAAATAAAAAAAAATGAATAGATAATAAATAGGTAATGACGTTATTACCCTTAATGAAAATCAATATCACGCATAAAATTTGTGTGGAATGATTTTATTAAGGGTGTTAATGTCATTACCTATTTATTTTCTACTTTTTATGTTGATGGTATGGAAGTGAGAAATAAACGGTATTTGTTTTAGCCGTGTCCTTTTGAGAAATATCTATTTTTCCGAGAGTGAAAAAAACTAATTTCAATTACATTCCTAAAAGTTCGAAAAAGTTGCAAATTTTAAATCATAGCTTGAATGAGAAAAATTGTTCCCCAAAAATAAATCGGATTGAAATTGATTAAAATTGAAGATTCTATTTGTTAATCCACCTATATAATATATAGTAATATAATCTAATAACATTAAAAAATTTAATTTGTGGAATTATTTTCGAAAAATAAAACAGAATAATAAAGCGGAATAAAGAATATATGCTATGTTTTGAAAAGGTTAAAAGGACTTTAATCCTTTAATGAAGCCCATTGATTCGGCCCATAAATTGTTAAATGACGATTTGGGCCAAAGGATTAAAATGTCATTCTTGAATATTAGAAAATATCGACACCCTTTTGCCTTTTATTTTGAAAAATACCAAGTAATGTTCATCGTTCATAGAGATGCATATATAAACTTATTCATGGCTACTTCTTAATGTAAGATCTCTTCGTAATCCCGGGGTTTACATTGATTGATCAATTATCGATCATATTTTACGTAATTTCCTTATTTATTTATGAAAACTATGCTAGGATCTTCCTCTCCAGTGGTTATCTCCGCGTTCGCCACGTACAATACCTTATTCATCTCCTTGTGCGATTTGTTATATGGCAATGAGCTTCTATACGTGCAAACTGTCTATTTAGCGATCTCCTTATCTCTAAATCTTCTCTTAGCATCAGCCTGATCCTCACTTACACCGTTCATTGGGCCTTGGTTTAATGGATTTTAATCTCTATCGCTTGTTGGACTTGGGGCCAATAATTCTAAATATGGTGAGCTCGACTCAGAGATGCCGAACCGATCCCCATTTATCCGGTGTGCACTATTTCTTGCGTTATATATATATATATATATATATATATATATATATATATATATATATATATATATATATATATATATATATATATATATATATATATATATATCTATATATATATATATATATATATATATATATATATCTATATATATATATATAAGTATATGAATTTATCACAAGTTTATCTGTATTATGTAAAGAATTATCATTTTTGTGTGAT